GTCCGATTGTGTGTGTGTGTGTGTGTGTGTGAGTGTGTGTGTGTGTGCGCGCGCGAGCGCGCGTGTGTGTTTAGTTGTCCGATTATGTGTGTGTGTGTGTGTGTGTGTGTGTGTGTGTGTGTGTGTGTGTGTGTGTGTGCGCGCGCGTGTGTGTGCGCGCGCGTATGTGTGTTTGCGTGTTGTGGGTGTGCGTGCCTGTTCCCATGTCATTGCCGCCTCTGCGTGCGTGCGACTGCATGTATTCCAATCTAATAGCCGTACAAGACGCATCGTCACCTCACACCTCACCAACAACAACCTACAACTCACCGAGGTTGTCGAAGCCGGGCGAGCGGGTGCAGCCCTTGAGAGATCGCGCGCGGAAGCGGCGCACTTTGCTGTAGAACATGATATTGGACATGATGGAGACAGCGAGCAGCGTACCCAGCAGCGCCGTGAGCACGATCCACGGCAGACCGTTCGTATCCTTGACTAGCCGTAGCTTCACGTTCTCTACAAGTACAGACGAGAGGGCAGGTTGTAGGTGATGAGCAGAAGAGACTGGGGGGAGGTCGTAGGTGACGAGTGACGAGCGATACATATAGACGGAGTCCCGAGACACAAGTGTCGGGACACGCGTGCGTACCGAAGCTGCGTTATTATTATATTGTTTAGATATAACCTAATCGCTATTCTTTTTCATTATTAAGTTATTAATGTTGATATTTTCGATTGCGACACATGAAAATTATCGCCACCCACCGTTATAGGAATCTAAACCACTTTGAGCAATTGCAATGAAGTAAGGCGTTCGGTACAATACGAACTCGCGACGGAGATTTTGAAATCAATTCTCAACTAGCAAGAGACTGCCGGTGTATATTGCTGTCATGATTACACATGCAGACCGCTTGTTTCTCATTACGGAGAAGTGTGCCTGAAGACAGGCTACTGTAGCTCGCATGGACAAGGGTGCCTATAACTGCGAAAGTCGCGCGGGGTTCGATGCGAAAAGTTTTATATTTAAAGGTCATCGTTTCGATTTGGTTTATCGACGCCCGCCGTGCGGTATAGTGTGAGCAGCGTGCGTGATCACGCGTGGGTTGAGTGCTATAAACACGCGCCGACACAAACAGGCTCAACTCACTCTGACGCGATTCAACTACGTAAAATCAAGCGAAAGATTTTATTCGTTTTCGCTCGCAGCCGCTGCATTAAACATATATATTGCTCTACGACGGATAGCGGAGCGTCGGTCGGTAAGACTATATTGACAATCCGCAATTGATTTTCGAAGAAAGAGAATTGAGGTTTGACGTGAAATAGTAAAAAGTTCTGTTAACACGCAGTAGATCGTCTTAACTACGCCATAACTTTATCTATAAACTTTACCGCATGCGCTTGACATTTGCGCGTAGCCCGCTTGAGTCGATCAATTTCATCCTGATTTGCTTTCATCTACACGTAAACACGCTAAAGCATCTTTCTAACCTCTCGGCATTAACAAGCAAATACAAATAATCGTCGTCAAACGTTTCACGTTGATAGTCGAGTTTGCATTTCAGAGATAGAGGGAGAGAGAAAGAGAGAAAGACAGAAAGAAAGAAGGAGAGCACACCTTAGCGTTCGCGTAGAAATATCAAGTTGCTCATTTTGCAGTTTGCATAATATAGACTATATATGCTCGAATATCGCAAAGAAATAGCTACCATCCGTCGCGCCAGTAGAAATTCGAGAATAACAAGGGGCTTCTCGGATGAATCGCGGTTAGGACTCAGTTCTTGTTAGCTTTGTTACTCGCGCTTAGCATCGATTTATTAAAAGCAGTAGCACAACGAACACAATGATGAGTAGCAAGTTTCTCATGCACGTCGCTTGCACGTCGTTTGCGCGTCGCTCTTGTCATATGTGTTAACACGTGGATTTAGTAAAGAAACTCTCCAATAGCGTTCTCTCGTTTTCGCCTGAACTATAGGCGATGTTTGTTCGATGTTGTCAGATTGCGCGTTTTATACTATCTGTGTACATCCAGACAGTGACAGCTACCCGAAGCGGCGTCACCTACTCACTCATTTGTACCCAATTAATTTGCTACAACCCACGCGTTTCCCTCGCATAGAATCGTTGCAATGTCATTGAGGTAACCGCTCCCACGAGCTCGCATACTCGCCAGCTTACCGTCTTGAGCAAGTAGTTCAGCAAATTCGGGAGATTCCTTGTCGAACACCTCGATTTCTTTCACGATGGAGACCTCCTCTTCCACGTCCGATAGATCTCTCTTCTTGCGGCCGAACGTTTCCCCGATGCTGGTGCCGGCCGTATCAAAGCACTCAAACTGAAAGCGATCATAACAAAATCATAGGCACACTCATCAAACATAACGAAATCACGAAGTATAAACTACTATCCAAAATCACGGGAATTATTCTACAGATTTTAACAAATCCGCAAGCATTATTCTACAAACGTAACAAATTCACATGTATTATATATATATATAAGTAAAATCACACGAACACTCATGTAGATAAAAACAAATTCAAAATATAAGTAAGGAGTGTTTAAATTTTAATCAGCGAGCTTTCGAGATGTACATCTCTTCCTCAGGCTTTCAGCTGACATTCTGATGACATTCACATAAATGTCAGCTGACATTCTGATGACATTCACATGAATGTCAGCTGACATTCTGATGACATTCACATAAATGTCAGCTGACATTTTGATGACATTCACATGAATGTCAGCTGAAAGCCTGAGGAAGAGATGTACGTCTCGAAATCTCGCTGATTAAAATCTAAACGCCCTTTACCAATTTTTTGAATTTGTTATATATATATATATATATATATATATATATATAAGTGGAAATTATTCCGTATTTTGGCGGGCTAATGGAGAGTGGCGAAAGCCGTAACTAAATTAATTAGCAACGCTTAAACCAGCAAGATCTTAAACCTCATTCTTAAAATTAGTCGTCGTTGAACTACCACAGCGACTATATGATGCATTTACGGCTGGCTCGTTCTTTCTTACGAAAATGTTATTTTGTTTTTAAAACGGAATTTGCCTGTAAGCCTGAACATTTTATAGCAATGGCACGAGTTCTGGTGAAAGCAGTTGCAGAAAGCTGTGTTAGAAGCGGCTGCATGTGCATACACTCATTGTAACCGCGTAATGCGGGTAATTAATATTTATCCACTCATCTGTAATGAGGGGGGGAACGGGGGGGTACATTCCCACTTTCCCAGCAAAAAACACCCCATATCCCAGTTCCCAGTAAAATAAAATCCCAATTCCCAGTTCCCAGGAAATTATGTAGACATGTTTCAGGAAATTCAGTAGTTTAGGTTTTCAAACACTACATAAATACTAATATTTACATACTATTATTTATCTGGGCATAATTAATAAAAAAAATTTTTTTTTTTAAATATTTAAAAAATATTAGCGCAGAAATTGAAATCCCGACGAATTGACACAATTTTCCCAGATCCCAGACAATTTTAGAGGGTCTTTCCCACGTCCCGATGGACTTCTATTCCCGAATCACGGAAAATTTATCTGACATTTCCCAGTTCCCAGGTAATTAAAATGGCCAATCCCGCGTCCCGAAAATACCCGTTCCCCCCCTCTGTAATTAATGCAAACATAATCTTCGCAATTTTTCTCCTTTAGTGTACTGTTTTATGTTTAGGTCGAATAAAGTTCATTATTCGGGGCCAGTAGGGAGTACGAGGGTGGACGTACAAAATAAAAAGGGATATAGCAGGAGGATAACAGAACAACTGGTATAACAGAAACTGCCCTGGTAACCACCTCAGGTAGAGTTTTTATGGGTGATTCATCGATTAAATTTTAAACTGGATGGCATAATTTCGATGGCGGTGAAGATTCATTCCGTCTCTACCCTTACCTCTCAACGTTACGTTTTAAGCTTTTAGTAATCCGTGTATGCACATCAGCAGCTATCAGACTTAAGATCATTGTGAGCCTGTAGATTAATCTGAGTTCATGTCATCTCTTTCAAGTTGTAATTAAAATGCTTATAAGCTTTACATATAAGCCATTTTCAACATTGTCCTGATTACATTTAAGACGTACATGCAGTTTAAAAATTCAGAAAGATGACTAAATACGTATTTAACGACATCGGGCAACTCTCAGAGGAGTTACGAACCAAACAGGGAGATGGCGCCACCTACCGGTTCACACGGACCCCTGCACATCATCAGTTGGCACTGAAAGCGGACCTGCGTGCTCTCCGCAAACTTAAATGCTTCGAACGGCATGTACAGAAAGTAATGGCCGCTATTCTGCGATTGGTCATCCACGTATGCCTTTCCGAAAATGGCCGCATCTAAGGGGCAGCTGAAAATGTTGAAATGACGAATTTTAATCATGAGAAATCCTTATGCTAATGAATCTCAACATTATTCTCCACGTCTTACATCGCGAGTTTGCTAGCTGGATATTTCAGTTCCCAGCGATCATCAAATCAATTATCGCTAATTGCGAGAATGGAAACGTTATATACGTGAGTCTAAAGTATACACAGGACGTCGTGACGTCTGCAGAGGTCAATGAGGTCACTGCTTACCCGTTGGTGTCAAGCAGTTGATATTTCCACAGCCCGTCGCCGGTGAACGCCCAGCAGTCCCGCACGAAGCCGCCATAGACGCCTGCCGTAGAAACACCTCAATATGTAGAGCTTCTATATACTAGAGCACCCATATCCCCTCCCATTTTTGATTCTTTCAGGGTCGAAACTATGTGTGACAACCTTTATAACGTGTTATGCTACACGTGATATAATAAGTCGTTTAATGTCATTGTGCCTCGTTTTAAATTACAAAACATTCTAATGAAAGTCAGAGACACCATATCAAAGGTGCTCGAACCCGAAGCAATGAGCTTTTGACCAGGACCACAGAAATAATATGCGTTTCCCTATTCCTATATAAGGATGGCCCTATACATTTCTACGGCCGCGCCGGTCTAGCGCCGTATATAGAGATACTCTATCTATTTACTCTAGATATCTCTATATACGGCTCTGCGCCGGTTGGGTTGAAGCTGCCATCTAGCGGCTGTATTACGAGACAACTGACTCACGTCCGTTGGCGATATCAATCTCCAGCTCGTAGACTTCGCCTAGACGCAGGTTGGTGACGAATCTGTCGGTGACGAAGTCATACACGTTCATCGTCACCTTGGCCGGCGGTGCTGTCTGATTAATGACAGTCGGTGAGAGATCGCTGCGAGAGAAAAAATGTGATCGATGTCCGGTCACTGTATTCATTGCGTAATTCATGTATACGCATATAAGAAATGGCATATCCACTTCACGATGGTCACCTCTTCTGTCCTCGCCAATTGAACTCGGCGTTGAAAGGGATTGGCTCCAAAATTAATTGTAATAAAATACTGCAATGTAGTGAACAGCGGCCAGAGCAGCTGTTTGGGAAAGCTATCTGCAACATCGCAATGGCACAATGACGCGGCGTTTGACGAGTTCATTGCGCTCATGTCGGCATCGCTATAGAACATGATTCAAAGATTAGGCCGTTATTGCGTTTCAGTGCGTTAACGTGAAAGTCGCGTACTTGAGTGTGACGTCAGAGTTGAGCACCGTCTTTGGGCTCGTGTCAAATGCACATTGCACTTTGTACGCGACGTCGTCTGCCGTCACCACCGTACGGTGGCGCTGTATCACAATTGTGCTTGTATAGATGTCGTTCTCCTGTACAAAAGTAACATATAATTAAACATTTAACGTACGAAGATAGAATTGCATTCTAATAGTCATTCAACGCTGTGAAATGTTCTTTTGAGGTAAACGTAATAAATGAACAAAACGGACACCAAAGGCACAGTTACAAACCAATTATGGTAAAAGTAAATTAAAAATCAAGATCAGTAAATAGTTACACCACATAGAAAATTATAGAAGATTTCAATATAAAACAAATATCTCAAAGAATTCAATACTGTGCCTTATAGCCTATATATGCATGTGCACATAAGTGCCGCCCTTTAGGTAACTATGGTCTTCAATGTAAACGTAATTACAAAGCATGAATAATTTTATTCACAATCATCTTGTGCGAAATCCCCACCTCTCCCCATCAGCAACTAGGCCTGTAGTTATGCCGAGACACATGTTCGTGGTGTTAGCGCACTGTCCAGAAACAATGTGTCTTGTTATGGATAATGTTCTTCTACCATGTTCTTCTCACATACCCGCTTCGTTCCACACTTGTCGAAGAAGATGACGAACTCTGTGCTCTCAGCCGACGGAGACACGATGCAGTCCGGGTTCTTCACCTGATCCTTCACGTAGATCGAGCCGACGACCATGCTAGGCGTCTGCACCGTCAGTGTCATCGCGTCCGGGCGACTGCACTTCACCGTCACTGCACACGAAAACGCAGCGACATTAGCTCTACATCGGTGAGGAGATGCGGATGCTATACGCAGGAGGCGGGTCATCAGGAGGTCATCAGGAGGTCATCAGCGGGTCATCAGCAGGTCATCAGGAGGGGGGTATCAGGAGTGTCATAATATAGACTATGATTGTCATTTGTGATTATCATGGGCTATATTATGACACTCCTGGTGATATCATGATATTTTCGCTAGAGCCAACGGCAGAACATTGCGTTGTAAATAACGCAATGTATTTATAATAAATAACGTAATAAATACATATATTTTAGGTTTCCGGTTGCATAGCCGCATGACAACAGAAGTGCGACGAGATACGAACAAAGGAGCGTGACAAACTTAGAGAGTTACGGGAAGCGATAACCGGCAATTTATTGTTACCATATTCTCGTTGAAACGGTGGCTAACTCTTAATAAGTCTATAATATCTTTTCTTTACTCCTGATATATCATGGTTAGATTGTCAAGCTACAACATTTGATCGCTATATATATATATAAGCGATGCCATCCAGTATGTACACGGGCTGATGCTGCCGTTCTGTTGGTATAAAATAAACATTTATGCTTCGCCGCATTTATAACTTCCGTATACTGGAGTACAATGCTCGGCGCAATGGTCTCTAATTATCAATCTACTGATACTGCTGACGAGCGGACCGCCGCGTGATGAAAGCTGCGTCTGTGTGAGCGCGTGGACGCCGCTAACTAACTACAAGTACCCGCCGATGACCGCACCCCTCCCCGTCCCGCCCCGCCCGCCCCTCGACAGCGACAGTTCCGAAGTTCGCTCGCCTGAGAGCAACAATGGCGCCCAGTCTGACGTGCGATGCTAGCTGCGATGATACGATACGCAAATATGAAACTCTCGAAAGGCGTTACCGCGCGGTAAATCACGCCGAACAACGTGCTGAGATCACGCGGGAGTGGGAACGCATGAATTCGCACGTGACATATGTCTTTAACGTTGCTTTTAACTTGCGTAATGCACATGCTAAGTGATTTTTGGTACATTGGGAATCTTTCGAAACAATAACTGCCGCCATTGTGTAGGGGGCCTACATACGACACATAATTATGTGTCACGCTTGGTGATTATACGCACAGAATGTCTCCAGTAAGAGTTAGCTAGAGATGGTTTTCATTTTCAATTGATGAGAGGCCTATATGATATCATATCATATTTTGATATATCATAAATTAATATCGCGCGCTTATAAGCTTACCTTTTGGTTTTAACCCCATCGCCCAGACCACGTCCAAACACTGGAAAGAAAAATCGTGTATTTTAGATTTAAATAAAATGTCTGACTATTGTATATCAAAAACATGTCGTTATGTTTAGTAGTCGATTGCACATCGACATCGACCGAGGAACATCGCTTGTTATGTGGTTATCGGTAAGCAACCACCATGCCACCTTCCCATCTTGCTAAGCAATTTTTTTTTATTCGTTCTCAAAGGCAGGTGTCTGAACAACGAGAAGTAAACAACGTGATTGTCTGTTTCGTCTACTAAAATCTGGTTAGTCTTTACAAAAGACTTTGCTTGAAATTCCAAACGTTTTTAAGAAATGACAAAAAATCGGGTGAAAAATGACTACGCGTTACCTGTTTTACTCGTTTTAGTATATGGCCTGAAACTAGTTAAAAGTTATTTCGAATAATATATAAACATTGTGAACTGGTTGAAGTCGTAAACACGTTACTAGTGGGTATTTAACAAGTAAAACGAGTTTTAATAAATGCGCAAAATAACCTTACTCAACAAAATACAGTAAATCTTACGATAACGAAAGTTCGGTTGCATTGAAAGCATGATGGGTGTTGACACCCACGGGGCATTTACTATAGTCTATATATGGTAATCACCACCATTATGTCAACGCATGAAACGACCGTGCACAACTAGAAAATTATATCACCAAGTCGACACATTACGCCTAGTTGCCGCTATTTAGTACCCGCTAATATACTAAAAACACGGCGCAACCAAAAATCGATCAAGGTGAGCGCGAGAGTTATGAGCTTTGGGTTCTTTGTCGCACGCCCATTCCCACCCCATATTCTATGGAGGGGCGGCATGTGAATGCGGCCACCATGACCGCAGCTTTATGAAGGTAGACGCGATGCGGGAAACATCGTCCTGATCGCTTATAATCGCGAGTTTCCGGCACGCGCCCGATACCACGCTGACCGCTCGTCCTAGGAAACCTGTTCCCTGAAGTTCCGGGAGCGAACCGAATTATTATTCATGCAAATGAGATTGTCGCTTTAAAATGCTGCATATATTATACGCAAAGGTCGAAGAACTTTTTGTACCATACACGGCGACTTACCTACAGCGAAGTGAAATATGCCGTAGTTCAGACAGTGCCAAACAATTAATAAGACAGAGGGTAGGTTGCCAACGAAAAGATGAAACCACGAATTTAAATAAAAATTTCGTTCTAGTACTACTACGTGCAGGCTGTAGGTCTGAACCCACTAGCAGCTAGCCAGCCGTTCACGGTTTGTGACCACGCGTATGTGGAGATGGCAGACTAGATTGGTAGCCACGGCTAACGCCGTTGCAGTCTGTGAGTGAACAAATTGAACAACAACAAAAAAGTAACGTTTCTCCAACTTGTAAAACGTCTTCGTTACGAATTTCGTGCCTTCAAGGAAGGGCCGTGGACACGCGTATCATGCGCTCGAAATCACACGACGTACATAGCAGTTACGTTCGCACGATCGACGGACGGCGCACTGCTCTCACGGACGCAGAATATAACAGCCACAGCTCGCCCAGACGGCGTGAATAGCGGGCGTATAGGTGACCTCACGGGAGAGGTCACCATCGCCTAGTGTACGGCGCGATTGATCTGACACGAGCCAGTCTAGCATGTGAGGAATTAAGCACGTCGCCATGCAGCCGACCCAGACCGCTGCCACACAGCAGCGCTGATAAGGTCTATGTCTCCCTGGGTATACTGCCGGACCGTACCCTGGGTGCGGTCCATTATACCGGAACGTACCCTGGTAACTGTCTGGTATACCGGACCGTAATCCGTCTACTCCACAGGGAGTGTTGTTCCCCTCCTACAGCAGTGGCGGATTCAGCTGGGGGTGGATTGGGTGGCTAGCCACCCTCTTCTGTTGGACTAATAATATTTTTACACATATACCAATTAATTATTGCCAAGTATAATACTCGCGCGGCTGTACAAAACGGCACCTGATGCATGAGTTAAATGAGTGAGTTTATGTAATTGAGTGGCAAAGCAGGTTATAACCCGTTTGCAGCTTTTTTCACAATTCCAAGAAAGGGTTTTGGCTGTCGCCCTCATCCCAGCGGTGGTCACCCCCTACATATTCAATAATGCCTCCCCCCCCCTGTACATCAATCAATGACGTGCTGCAAGCGCAAGAATTGTTCTACTAAAAAGAGAATTGTTGTAGTCAGAATGAAGGCAATGTATTCAATACATGTACTCAAAAATGCATCAAACACCATCTCCTGTTATCTATATTTTCAAATCTTCTGGGGGGGCCATACCCCCGCCTGTTTTCCACCCCCTCCTTGTAGGCGGGTTGCGGGCCGAGCTACGGCGTTCTGCAGCCAATATTTTGGGCGTACGGTATATGCAAAGAGAGCAGCTCCTGCGGTGAGAAAGTGAAAGGTGCGAGAAATCTGGATGCAGGGCAGCAGGATTTCGCCCGACGGCGATTTCACTTAAGCAGTCTATCATTATCAACTACTGGTTTACACAGACGTACCACCTCCGGCATAGAGTACAGGATACAGCGACCCTAGCGCTATTAGCTGACCCCCCCCCCCCCCATTCCAGATACAGTGACCAAGAGACACGGAGAGAGACAGACAGTCAGAGACGGGGAGAGACAGACAGACAGAGACGGGGAGAGACAGACAAGCAGAGACGGAGAGAGGGGGGAAGAGAGAGAGAGAGAGAGAGAGAGAGAGAGAGAGGAGAGAGAGAGAGAGAGAGAAAAGAGAGAGATGAGAGAGAGAGAGAGAGAGACACACACACACACACACACACACACACACACACACACACATACACACATACACAGAGAGAAGCGGCTGAGAGATACAAAGAAACACGGAGAAAGGACAAAGAGAAAGCAGGAGGGGTAGGGAGAGGGAAAGGGAGACGGAGAGAAAGGAAAAGAGTGAAATTGCATAACGAGTCACTTGCATAACGAGTGCTTACAGCGAGTGCAATGCTATCCATCGCTCAGGTTCACGTGTTGGCGAACTTACTAAGCTAGTTGAAGGACATTTACAGCAGTATTTGGCATGAGCGTCAGGAACAAGCTGTCATGTACCACGCTGAAATACCTCTGATCGATCACGCATTAATTCCGCTTAGTGAACACAAACATATTGCAGCCAGAGAGACTGCGGTGCGGATCAAAAATTGGCAATGGAGCAAGGGCAAGGGCCCTATGTTAAGAGCAAAGTTCACGACGGCCACCAACGCATTTGATCATTTTTATCAGCACTTGGTGGCATTCTTCAAAATTATATGATCATTTCTATATAACATTAAGACTACTTCAAATTCTCTAAAACGAATAAATGTAGTAATTGTGATAGAAAGATAGAAATGACGTTTACATTAAAACCGGTCCACGGGACAAACTCAACTACGAAAGCACAATGATTCTAAGATTTATAGTAAGAAATTGTAGGGTTATTTGTTGTGGAGCGGCGGAAGCAGGGGTGTTCACGTCAGCAATCCTAGATCAGTCCCTGAAATAATAATTTACTCAAGAAACCACAGTTCTACATATATTTTAAAGCAGAATATATAAACTATAGCTTCTGTACAACGGCTCACTTACCGACAGCGCTAGCAGCAGGACGGCACGAGTAAGATTCGAATTCTTCATCACCTCCTACTTCTTCTTTATCGTATCACAGTAGTGTCCTCAGGGCGGCAATGTAGCGGCAAGCTCACCTGTAAAGACATGAGACACCCTGGTTATATAGCTGACCGGGGATCTGTGCCCGCATGCCCGCGCATCGGCGACTACTGACCGATTAACAGTCTAACGTCGCCACGTCTTGGCGTTAGAGCGAGAAGTGCACGAAGATTTTTTTCGTATTCAAATTCAACCTGCGTTTGCATTACTCCTCGTTTGCAGATGCAGTCGCCCCTGCCTTGCTGAATGCATGTGTGGTCGCAGTTAGCAGCGAATATGCATGATTTACTCTATTGCACGTCGTTGTTTATTCACGGCCGAGTGCGCTGAAGTGCGCATGCGCAGGTTTCTGCAGATGTCAACTCGCTGTCCTGAGGACGAATAGTGAACCTGGACGCTAACACTTCCTGTCGCTTTTTGGTCGAACCAGGAAAGACGAAAAGTTCCGGCATTGATATAACCGGTTATTGCGCATGCCCGTGGTAACGGGTGTACTTATTATACGTAAAGCTGCTTCACCGACGCGTCAAACGCCAAATGTTAAGCATTAACTATATGCTTTTCGATAACAATAACTGTTCTGTCAGGAACGACACCAAATAAAACACGAAAGGTACATAAATCTTCTTCCTAATTACTCAAAAGCGCCGTTAAAACTCGCGTTTCCTATACACTGATTGTAAGACACTGCATTCACAGAGTGCCGAAGGAGACTAGTGCCTCAATATGTGCGATATTCTGGATAATTGAATACGCACGACGTTCTTCAAGGAAAGACGGATGTAATTTTGCGTTTTATTTGATGTTAGGACTACATTAGCAAGACAGACGAACGCACGGGTAAGCTGCTTGATGTGGTGATGAAGGTGTAACCTTGTGACAAGACAGGATCTCAACGTAAGCATGCCACATACGACGTGTGGAACTCGTCCACGCCTTCTCTCGTGAAAGCGCCACGAATTCTTCAACACAGCTCTCCGCCCGTCGAGCGTAACCAATCAACTGGCAATTGAGAGATTCGAAGAAAGCGTGTAATTGACTGTGGTGCCTATATATTTTCGAATTTCTACAGTTTACACAAAATATCGAGAAGAATTCGTCGCCGCCGGCAAGCCATGGCCTTGCCACACCTACTTGTGTCATACGTCGATGAAAGCGTAGTAGCTGCCTGACCTTCGAGCGATATATCTGACCTCGTGATCGAGTGAATAGTGTGATAGGTAACGTTCACTTATCGATACGTATATATGCGTTATAATCTAGCTGGACAGCACTCTATGTTTCTGTACGAATTTGAAACAGTCACTATAATAATAATACCCATAATAAGCCCTCTACTAACGGATATATAGAAAGGCGATTGATTCCTAAATAGCATCATTACTTTCATTACGAAGGGCGTGAAGTAGTGTATAATTCGCGTAGATATTACACTGCAGATTGAACGCTCTTTTGTGAATTTAGTATGGAATGTGAGACTAATCTGCCAATAAGAAAGAACTCGTTACAAACGCCCGGAGTTAGCTATGTAGGATTAAGCAAAATGTTCAGTGCTAATTGTAAACCACGAACCGCGAATCACCCTGCTAGACCATTCCCTCAAGGCGGAACGCATTGCGACCGTGATGTGCTGGTCAACTGCACGAT